CATCAGCAGAGATTCTCAAGGCACTATTGTTTTGAAACTGACCTGGTAGGCATCCCAAGTCTTAAGGATGAATGAATAAATAACTTTGCTGAATGCTGCTGAATATGGGATAATGTAATTAGTATTCCTGCCAACAGAATTGAAAATGAGATGTTGCATCTCTAGGGACTTTCATACTTCTCTGTAAATAGTTTCTCTTAAATATACACAAGACACACACGAGCTAAGCAAAAAGATTCCCTCTAAATTAAAATGTTATTATGCTTCAGATGATGGGGCTGAAGGACTTACTGAATCATCACTCCCTGATTGACAGGGGAGAGCCATCATTGACATATTTTCCAAGTACATTGAACCCCAAAGGCCTTTGGTTTCTTCAAAGGATGCACACACACACACACACACACACACACACACACACACACACACACAATGTGAGTTATTTGGGCTAGAAATTATCCAATAGAGAGACACCATTGTAAACTGTTACTAATATCTCCATGACTATAAAAATAAACATTAATATTCATTGGACACTAAAGGATGGAAAAATAACTGATTGAAATGAGGTGCTTTCTTCCAGCTTTTAAAGTTAAGGATTTTTAGGAAGTGTGGTATTTCAAAATCATGGGAGATTGCTGCCTCAATTGGTTTCAAACAGTAAGGCATTTTCCATATTGGCACCAAATGAAGTTCAATCTAATCAGTTTTCCCTTGGATAGTTCAGTAACTTAGAATTAAAATGTTAATCAGTTCTATTTGGATTATTTACATACAGGTGCATAGGAAATAATCTGGTGGGTTGTGGCCTGATAATTTGCTTAGCTAAAACTGCACACACAAGAATTATATTTTTCTTCCTTCCACAGTATTTGCAAAGGATGGGTAAACTTCCTTCATTCTCAGCAGGACTTCCTCTGTCTGGCTGCGTTTTGACTCACAATGATTTCTTCTTTAGAAACAAGCAAGAGGATGCCAGTTCATCTCTTACTAGAATCAAGAAGGAAGATGTATGTCTTGTGGGTAAAGACTCAAATCAGGAACAGAGCTAAAGAACAGCTGTTACTGCGTCTGGTCACTCAAACAGTGCTGCTGCAAGCTAGAATAAGCAAGGGAATTCAGTCCACCAGAATCAAAAGGTTGCTTATGGTTGCCAACAATAAACTCTGCGACTTTAAGCTCGCCCCTGAAGCTCCATGGGCTCCAATTTCTGCTTGAACGAGGAGCATTGATTTCTTGAATGAAGAACATTGATTTCTCCTTCAAATTCAAGTTCAAGTCTACTGATGCTGGTAATTTGCCTGTTGCTGTGGGAGAGCAGTAGAACATATCACTTCTAGTATGTAATGTTGGGATATGGGTTATTTTGAGATAAAGGCAACCAAGAAGACACAGAAATAAAGCAAACTCTGCATTTTCCTCCCAGATGCCATACTACCCTCCTCAATGACAAAGGACCAAGTGGCCATCTTCAGCCTCAAGTGAGCTCTGGAGGAACAAACTTTACTAACTTGTCTTTATCTACCAAGGGTTTGTCATATATTTACTGTTTCTTAACTTACTGTCACCCAAAACTCAGTCCTTCTCCTGTGTCTTTGTCACTTCTCAATGTATTATTGATGGTTGAAGATGCCATATATTTCTTGGATTTTAAGCTGCGTATCTCTTGGCATTTTCCTTCTTCTCTGAGTCACATCGATTTATAAGATACACATGTTAATACACTTCTTATATTTCTCCTGTCAGTATGCTCTCTGTAGAAGTTGTGGTTGAGAAGTTGGAAGATTCTAGGTTTAGATTCAGGAGTTAGGAATATTACTGTAGAAGCAGGTGGGACCAGTATGCAGCTATAAGGAATCTCCTCCCTTGTGCATATGCTTAAAGCCCTTACAAAAGGAGCTTCAGAGAGTGTTTAGTTCTCTTGCCCTCTTATCTCCTGCCACGTGAGGACATTGCATTTGTATTCTTTGGAGGATGCAGCAATGAGGCAGAGGACTGCCATTGCCAGCTACTGAGTCCATTGGTGCCTTGACCTTAAACTTCCTAAAGTAATTCCTTTCCATTGTAATTTACCCAGTCTCTATGCTATAGCAGCATAAACTAGCACAGAAACAGAGTAAGCATGTTTTTTTTGTTTTTTTTTTTTCTCCTCCGCATTGACTGCTGCTTGTGAAGTGCTTCATGGAGTCTGTGCCCTAGTATACAGAAACAGCATACTTTTCCCCTTTTTAAATTTTATTTTAATTATCAGTGCCTTTGTTTATTTTTCTCAACATAGACTGGGAAGAGGAGATTATCACAAGTCAGCATGAATTACCCTTTTTAATGTCACAAAAATGGAGCTAACCTTGCTTCATTAAAAGCTGAAGGTACATATGAAAAACAAATGAATTGATAAAGATCGGTCTATCTTCAATATCTGTGATGTTTCCACACTTCCTAAAAATGGCATTTTATAACTGTTTTAATGATTAAAGATGGTCTATGCAGTCACTATTTTATAGCTATTAACTAATTTGCCTTTATAGAGAAGTATATACTTTTGACCTCTTGGTATTCAAGTAGTGTTTTTTCTCTGCTTGGGTGTTTTTCCCCTGAAAAATCTCTGTCTTATACTTGAAACTTTGTCAGCCAGAGACGTTGGAACTTCTTCCTACACAAATATTTGGTTCCATCCAATAATATTAGGTTCCATGTATAAAAGCAAATAATCATTATTTACTGAGCACTTGTAAGTGACAGATATTAAAATGGAATTTCTCTTTTTTTCCTAATGTTAGATTCTTTTTAAATTTAATTCATTGTATTGTAAAGGTGATATACAGAGCAGTTAAAGTTACATAGGTAACTTTGTTACCCACTCCCTCACTTCCTCCCACTTTCTTCCCCTGACTCCCCTCCCCACATAGTTCATTTCCAACATAGTGTCTTGTATCACTGTTGCATTGGTTCCCCTTTTGTCCTTTGTCTTGCCATTTTAAACTGGACTTTATATATATCAAGGCTCTATGGCCCTGATGCCATTTCTATCTCACTTAATTTATTCACCCATTCATCCATTCATCCATTCATTCACTCAATTAATTGCATCATTTCATAGTTGTTAACTGTATTCCACATGCTAGAGGTCCTGCAGGAAGGTAAGTGAACTTTTTGCCTCTGTGGCAAGCATTTATATCGATAACAAGTTTCTGAAAGTCTGGGTCCATTTTTTTCTTTTCATTTTTAATTTGTTTTGTATACAGCATAAAATAAATATTTGTTGAATGACAAGCTTGTATCAATGAGAGATAAATGTAGAAATCTAGAAGAAGAGGCAGGTGTGCTGTGGCGATGAATAATAATTGTCATATAGCTATTCTCAGCTATTTTATTAAAACTAGTTCATTGTTCTTTGCAAAGCTGCCCCTATATCTATACAGAGAGATCCTGATTGAAACTTGTCCTAAGAACTGAGATTTAAAATGGTAACTTACTAGAGACCACCTCACTTGCCTGCCTGGCTCCTTCTCTTTTTTTCTTCCTTCCTTCTTCCTTCTTTTTCCTTCCTTCCTTCCTTCCTTCCTTCCTTCCTTCCTTCCTTCCTTCCTTCCTTCCTTCCTTCCTTCCTTCCTTCCTTCCTTCCTTCCTTCCCTCCTTCCTTCCTTCCTTCCTTCTTTCCTTTGTTCCTCTCTTCCACCTTTTCCTTTTCCCTCCCTCTTTTCCTTTTCTCCCAGAATCATCTGATATTATTGCTATAAACCTTGTAGTACTCATTTTAAAGTATTAGCATTTAAGAGATATGTAGTAGAAAAATATAAAGGTAATATATTATCAAGATACAACATCTCAAATCCTGTGATTGAGGAATAGGAAAATTTCATGAAAAAAAAACAAATCTTTTCCATAAATCTTAAAATTATTATACCTGCTAGTTACAAACTTCTTATATAAGGAAGTGTCATTCTTAGCCTTGCTGGTAAAGGAGTTTATTGTGTTTCAACATTCAAAATGTCTTAGCTTGAACTTCATAAGCTCAAAATACAATGACCTGATAGATATTTAAGAAACATTAAGAAAGATGGGTTGAAAGATGAAAGGGATAACATTGACCAGGATCCATTGTACTTGTAAATTGATTTCTAAATTGAATCCAAACCCCTTGGTAAAATTATTTAAAGATAAAAATAAACTATAAAAAGCAATAAATATTTATTCCAGAACTGAATCATCAAGTTGCATAACATCTTACTGGCTTGGAAGTTTTATAGGGACAACTAAAAGAAAGGGAAATTAATGCTTTTGTAAGGATACCACCAAATGATCAAGCCTTCACTCCTCACAGCACACAGATTTCCTGACTTTCAATCTGACACCCATAAATATTCCAGCTCAGTGGGTCTTTGGGTTCCCTAGTCTCTATAAATATACCATAGCTTTTGATTGTTTTATGATGGAAGTTTATTTTATTTTATTTTTGCCTGCACAGTTGGCTTTGTTTTTTTTCCTGTGCTTTATAGACCCTTGTCTTTTTATTAGTTCACTGTTCCCTGTTGATTTTGTGTTTTATATTCCTGCTGTCACCACCAGAACCTCACTGTAAACAAGAATGTTGTATCTCAGTGGGTTATTTTCTGTTAATGACCTGTGATACAGTATATAAATAAACCAGAGAGCCATCCACAGGTGCAGTTTATTAGAGTTATTGCACTGTGGCTTGGGTAATGTTCCTTGGTTCTTTAAAACTTTGCTGCTTTGAAAAGCAAAGGGGCCAGCTAGCTGGCATTTTTTGAAGAAAGGAAAATGAGCACATCATTTTATAAGGGATGGAAACCCAGACTAAAAATGATCATTTTAATCTCTCAGTGTCAACATCTAGGTTACCATGTGACTTTAAAAAAATTCTACTAAGCCAAATTACTCAGATAACAAGGTATAATCTCACTAGCTGTCTCTAGCAGGCACAGAGTAAACACACAATGGTCCCTCCTCACAGATAAGAAGAAAACCATATGGAAACACACACACACACACGCACGCACTACACTGCTCAATTAGAACAAGAGGAATTGTTTGGAGTTGTACACAGGTGCATGACAAAGACTGATAATGGTAGTTTATTAATGAATTCTCATAACCCCTAGTGAGGTAAGTGTTATTAAGAGTCTAGTTTGGGTGGGCCAATAGAGGCTAAGTAACTTGTCCAGGGCCACAAAGTGAAACAATCTCTGCTGTGGAAAAGAGCCATCAAATGAGCTCCTGCCACACCTTGTGCTCTTACCACTGGATCATGGTCTGTTTTTTGTCTTGAGATGAAATTAGCAGAACAGACACTGGAGTAGAAGAGTCAAAAGATAGAAAGAATGTTTGGTAATGATTTCAAAAGAGAATCAAAAGGAAATAAAAGGCTGTGAGGATACTGGAGTGGTCTACAGCCAAACAGATATATACTTCTGGCTTTGAAACACACGGGGAACAAATCCTACCATATCTCAGGCGAATCCAGCTTCCAGAGAAGACAAGATAGGGGAGGAAGGTAAAATGGAAAATGCAGTAGAGGAGACTAACTTTCTGGATGTTCTCTACTATCATGTGGGGCACTGAAAACAATTGAGTTAGAGAATCTGATTTTTGTTGGTGGAGCTATATAGAAAATAAGGTTTCAGGCTTCTACTTTACTGATTGTGAATAGAATAATAGTAGATATTCCTTTGCTTTTCCTTATTATTCAAAATGATAAAGTAGTGCTTACTTATAAATCTTCATAATTATCTCTCAGTCTTGTTAAGAATGTGTGCATGACTGTCACAGGTATCCAGGATGGATCTATTCTAAACTAACAACAGCAACCCATGCATAATGAATCCTTAGTAATTTATTTAACTAGTGTATGCACATGCAGCCATACCTGTCATCAAAATAATGTTTCACTTGGATGCATCCCAATCTTCAAATTTGTTCCAGATCCTTTATCAGACAAATATACATCTTACCAGTGTTTGTTCTGAAAATATTTTTGCCCAGTGGAGCTACATGATCAGTTAGCTCCATTCGTCTATCAAATATATCATAAACATTCATTCCATGCCACTGTACAGAATTACTTTTGTAAGTACTCTTGTGCAACTTGCTTGAATTTACTAACCAGGAATTAACTATTGATATATTAGAAGAAAATATCAACAGAAAAAACCATACATTTCATAATAGCCAAGTCATAGTCATCCCCAGTTACATGTTATATTACATGTTTATCATCCTATGGAGTTTTCATCAATTAATTCTTGGTGTTTGCTGTGAGTTGGTGGTTCATGCCCTTATTCCCAGATACTAAGGAAGCTGAGATGTGAGCTAGATCAAGCAGAAAAGTTTGTGAGACTCTTATCTCCAATGAATCACCAAATAGCGAGGAGTATAGATCTTGTTCAAATGTTAGAGTTCCATCTATGAGCGGAAAATCCAAGCAAGATCTCAAGGTTCTGAGGTCAAGCCCCAGTACTGGCACCAAAACAGAAGAAAACCTTGGAGAATTAAGAAAGAGTGGGAGAAAGTAGGTAGGGAGAAAGGAAGTATGTATTCAAAAAGATGGAAAAAAATAGAAAAGTAATAATTGCTAAATAGTGAGCGATTGCATTTATTTGTAATTTTTCTTATCAATGAAATACTTTATGATAAATTTAACAGTGTAGGTAGGTTCCTTGAGGTTATTTTTCTTACTAAAATGTTAAAAGCACTATCATTATATAGAAGATAAATAAATATTAATGATATCTTTGAAATGCCTATACATCCACAAATAAATTGATCTTTATCCTTTAAAAAAAGAAAGCCTTGGAACATCATTAATGTGCAATATAAAGGCTCCTGTTATTTTGGGTGATGATTAGGACATTGGCACATTAATGATGTTGGAAAGAGAACTAGAGTTTTCAGAGTGAGATGATACCAGAATTTTTGTTTCTCTTAAACTTTTCCTACATAATTTCTCATCAATGCAACACTTTCAGAGATTGTTTCAGGGTGTCTACTTTTACTTCAAGGTCTGATTCATCTGGAGTTGATTCTGTTGCAGGGTGATATATAAGGATGTCATTACCTAATATTTAATTTATCAAGTAGTCAGCATTGATATTTTGTTTCCTTACTTTCTAGAAAGAAAAAAGAAGCACTATAAACACTAATTTACCAGCAAGAAAATTATTTTCAAAAGATACAAGTGTAGCATGTCTACAATACTTCTTTAACAACTAACATGTAAAAGAATTACTGACTGCAGTATATTCCAGCTGAATGAATTTTTCTCATGACTTTTATTTTTGTTCAACTACTTCACTCATTATCTGTGGAGTCGCTTGCATTTTTCTTCTTTCACATCTAACTTCCATTCTCACTAATTCAATTTCTAAATTATGAAACATAAAAATATCACTTTTGCTTGTTTTGAGAAATGATGTCAGAGTAGTATTTGAGGGAAATATTTTGTTTAATTAGATGCAAATATGAGTGCATATTCATATAATTTTATTTAGTGCTTTGCACATATAATATTCAATTTAAAAATAAAAGTTAACATAGAAAAGCACTATCAAAAGGGCCCCCAGAGGTTGGAATGGTGAGATAGTTCATAGAAGCGCCTCAGCTAGCTCCTTCCAGTTTCTTTACTCAACTATAATTTTGAAGAGCATCAAACAAGAAGTGCAGGCCAAAGTGGTTCAAGACTCAAGGGACTTTGTTAGGAAATTACCTGCTAGGAAGATGCATCAAACTGGGCTATGAGAAAGGATGGATCCACTCTACAATTAGGCCCAGGACACTTTGGACTTAAGGTTATAAAGATAGAGATAGAGATAATAGAGATTATCTTATCTATCTATCTATCTATCTATCTATCTATCTATCTATCTATCTATCTACTTACCTATCTATCTAGAAATCTCCATGAATATGTAACCTATGGATGTATTTTTTTCCTATTTCCACCTCTATGTTTCCTTAGTCTTGGTAAGTTGTCTTGAAATAATAATTACAAAAGCTTAGAATTGTAAAAGGATATTGGAAACTTAATGACAGAGTCATTGCTATAGAGAAGTGCACTTTTTTTTACAATGCTTGCAGTGAAAATAAACTTACTGCATCACAAAGTAATTATTTCAAAATGTACCTCACTGTAGCATTTGCTTGTTTGTCTAGTTCTACCCTATTGGACAGCCAATCACAGCAACTCTTTTCCAGGGGTCAGGTTCCTTAGTTCGAACAATAGTCATCCCTTCTCACCTCCTCTAACACTGGCCTAAAGCATCACGTTATTTCCACAGTTCTTCAGCTCACACAGCATCATTGCCCTGTCTACTATTTGAACACAAACTTGTTTATCAAGATTGTAATAAACACTTTTCAGGAATGGAATTGATATTCCAGATATGGTTTAAGCAACAGAGTATATAATAGACATATGGATGGCTAAGGTTTAGTTATTACACTTTTACGACTGCCATTTCAATTTGCTCAAATGATGGTCAGCTACATCAGAGAATTGGGTCATGGTAAATTTGTTCAACTACATTCTCCCTGTCCTGCCTTTATGTATCTTATGATTATATTAACAGAGAGAGGGAGAAAGTGTTGTGTACCTGTTTCATAACAAAACTGTGTTAATTTTGTCATCCTGCAGTTTGAGTCATATTTCTGTGTGGAGAATAGTCATGGAACTTGAAGAGATTTCTTATGAGGAATGTTCAATGGAATTGGGAAGGTTGCATGAAGAAATGGTGAAAGGATTCTTTTATTCAGCTTTCTTCAAATATGAATGGCTGTTATCTGCATGTAGAATTTATACCAAGAGATTTATGTTCAAGGAAAATTGAACCCAGTGCTATGAAGAAGTTTTTCAGTATTAGATTTTCTTTTTCTAAGAGTGACATAGGTATGACTATTGAAAGATTTATTTGTCATTGTTAGCATCTTGTACTCCATTGGCTTGCTTGCTTGGGCTTGTGCTCTACCACTTAAACCATGCCTCTAGTCAGATTTTCTGCTGGTAACTGTAGAGATGGGGTCCAGAGGACTTTTCTGCCTGGGGTGGCTTTAAACAAGAATTCTCTGGATCTCAACTTTCTGTAACTATGATTACAAGTATGAACCACTGGTGCTTGACTATCATTGATATATATATTTGCAATCCTGGGGACTGAACCCAGAGCCTGGGCACTGTCCCTGAGCTTCTTTTGCTCAAGGTTAGCACTCTCCTACTTGAGTCACAGCACCGTTTCCAGCTTTTTCTGTTTATGTGGTAGTGAGGAATTGAACCCAGGGTTTCATGCATGCCAGGTAAACACTCTACCACTAAGCCACAGTCCCAGCCCTGATGTTTTTTTGAAAAGAAAAAAATTTCTGAATGATGGTATTTAAGAGCATTAATTTCTATAATGGAGCCATAGGATAGATTATTTCTTCAAATTTAGAAGATAATCGTTTGGTAACCAAGTAGTGTTTATATTTGTCTTAATTGCATGTTATTTTATTATGTGGGTGCAATTTTTATTGTTGTGTCATTGCTTCAGTGCTGAAATTGAATTTAGGGCCTGATGCAGACAAGGCAAGTAATTAACAATTCTCCGATTCTTATTTTGGCATGCCTTGTAATATGGCATCATTTGCATATTTTATAAATGTTGACTTTAGGTTCTTACTTGTTATTGATATAAAATGTGAAGTAGCATATTTAGTGTGTTAACATTTTATGGGGATCCTATAGAAAGCCATTAAAGAAAAACATGGTTAAGTACACATTTTACTATTTTGTCATGAGAGAATTTACTCATTCCTTTCTCAGCACAGTTCTTGGGCATATCAAACATGAAAGTGTACTGCCATCTGAGTTATAGAATAGGAAGAAAGAAGGAAGAGCTAGTTTGGTAAGAGTGTGCAAGTGAACATGCTTGTGGATGGGTGCTTGGCATGGACTCACAGAGGTATGAGGTGGGGTCAAGGCATAGTGGTTGGCGACTTTTGTTTTGCCTACAGTGGACAAATCCGGTAACA